CATCCTTTTATACGAAACAGAGGATTAACTTAACCCAGGTCTTAAATACCCGATCAATTACATTCAGTTTCCAAGATAAAAGGCTCTATCAGGCTCTACGCTCTACCGTTATTCTCTCACGTCCTAACACTTAAGGTTGTACACAAAATCTATTGACGGCACGTGAGCTACCCGCAAACCGATTAACTTAGCCTACAAAGGCGTTAACCCTCCAATGCTAATGGGGTCCTACACACCCAACAGCAACAAAGAAAACAATACCCACTCTGTTTGTTCAGGTATACGTGATAGAGATTAAGGTTATGAATGCGCATTGAACGCCGAATTTACGCTTTCGGAAACAATAAACATAAATAAGTGAAAGTTTTGCGCTTGAGGAAAACCTCTAATAAGTAAGGGTGTTTGTTTAGGCACCCATTACTATTTGGTGGCGAGCGTTTCATTTTCTAGAAACCCTTTGTAAGCAAAATTTTCGCAGGTAAGATGAGCTTTACTAAGCGCTTTTTAGTTCATTATAATTAATTAAATTAATTATACACTTTTCAGCAAAGGGTGAAATATTTTTTTCCTAAAATTAAATTAATTGAAGACAGAAAAATTCTAGAAGACAGTCTGGTATGTGCTGTAATGACGAGAATCTTCCTCCAATTACCCAGCAACAACCTGAGGAATGAAAACTAAGAAGCAAGGCTTTCGCGTGCCATCAAAGTCAAATAAGTGCGAAGCGGGTCTCTTCGACCCAGCAGCGGGTAGGGGTTGACGCGTGTTTATTTTGGCCTAATTCGGTGTTCAAGCATTAAGAGCGTTTGAAGTTTATATGAGATGCTATTGAAATGGAAATTCGTTTTGTTCAAAGCCTCTATATTTCATTTGAAAGGTTTTTACCTGGGGACGCTTTGTTGGTTGAGGGTTTTTGAGGTGTTTGGGCCCACTACTGCTTACACTTGGTTAATTGAAGAAGGGCTGTTAACGTGAAACGTTTAATTTAAGTTAAAATATGGTAAATAGTTTTAGTTTTTGATAGTACACTTTAAAAGGAGTACTTTTTAATTCTTATCGTGAAGGTTTACATGTCAAGAGTTGACGTAGGCTTTGATATTATTTCTTTTTAATTTCTTACAGCTTCAGATATTCCGATTAAAAAACAGGGTCCAGTTCTTTGCCATAATCTTTTTATTTTAGAATTTTGCGTTTTCTAGTAAGTTTAAATATTTAATTGTATCAATATCAAGTGGATAATATGACATTTTTCAGTGACTAAGGCTGGGTTGCACCATCGTACTCTAGCTATAACAAACGTCAAAAGACTGTCAAACTCCATACAAAAAACACTGGTTTTCGTTATAGTTACGGTCAAAGTTAAGTGACTTTGCAACATCAGCCTAAGAAAACTCGCAATCTAAAATTACACCTTCTTCTTCTTGTCGTGTCGACAACAAACCTACACAGCGTAAGCCCAAAACTCTGCCACAAAAGTGGAATTACACCTTGAATTTACTCTAAAAGCTCCATGTTAATTTAATACCTAATGAAAGAACTTAGTGCCCATAAATTAATTGGCAAGCCTACAACGTCATCGGGTAACGTGTTTGCAGATCATTATTCCTCCCATAACTTCAAAGCCTTCAATATTTGAGTAGAGGATTCCCTCCGCAAATAATTACCCAAATTAGGGGAGAATCTTTTACGCACGCGTAAATAATAAATAGCGGAGTTACCTGCGACAGGAGACAGGAGTCAGTTATGTTTAAGTTATTCATGGGTTTTTTTATTTATTTATTTATTTATTTGTAATAGGTATACAAACAGTTTACAGTCTGGGCTTCATCGTAAAGAAAAAGTGTTAATTACATACTGGACCGTAAGCCAAAATTAGTATACACAGCATGATAAATTAAATTAAATTACAAGTACTATCCAAAAATAAATACAGTTCTAACTTAACTCTAACAGTTACAACACAATATTATGAAATTTTATTAGATATTTTATACTAATTGCGGTGATTACGACGGAAGCAAAAGATTACCCAGAAGACATTACCCACCGTTCCCACCGGGAGACGCTGTCGTTTCGTCATTTTTGAGCAAGTCGGATATAGCCTTTTTATACTGAGGAAATTTACTATTAAATACATCTATGTCCTTGCCCGCACGAGCCAACTCATTATATGCGCGACACATCCTGACTAGAGGGTTGTAGTAAGAAGTATTGTTTTTGTATGCCTGTATTGCGAAGATGTTAGACTTCGACCCACGGGATCTATGTCTGGTATTAATACTGAGTGAGGAGAGAAGATCTGGAGCATCTATCCGGGAGTGCAAGATTTTATGCAGATAAAGTAGGTCGTATCTTCTGCGGCGGGTACTTAGAGGAATTACGTCAAACTCCGTTAACCTTTCACTATAGTCTTTTAGTGAACGACCGTAGTGATTCTTGCGTGATATGTATCTTAAGCATCTACGTTGGACTCTTTCTATGTTTTCAATATGGACGTTATAATATGGAGACCACACCGGGCTGCAGTATTCTAGAATGCTTCTGACTAAACTATTAAACAGATATAGCACACTGCGAGGTTTCCTAAAATCTTTCGTAGTTCTTATTATAAATCCTAAGGCACGATTACTTTTTTTAACAATTTGGTCGTAATGTGGACGGAATGTTAGCTGCTCGTCGAACAAAACACCTAGGTCTCTGACGGTGTCCCTTCTGGATATTAATTGATCGCGTATGTAGTAAGAGTGTACAAATCTATTTTTCTTTTTTGTAAAAGTGATAACACAACACTTATCTACGTTGAGGGACATTTTATTGGATGAGCACCAATCATCGATAACCTTTAGATCGTTCTGCAGCACCAGAGCATTACTCTTCCTATCAACACTCGTGAAAATCTTGAGATCATCGGCATACAAGAGGGCATGAGAGGATAGTCTGTCAGTCAGGTCATTGATGAACATGACAAATAGGAGCGGTCCAAGGTGCGACCCTTGTGGAACCCCAGAGGTGACCTGTATGGGTGAAGATGTGTAACCCTTCACAGTAACGAGCTGAGTCCTATTTTTTAAATATGATATTATCCACCGTAGCAGACATCCGTGGATCCCATAGTGGGATAGTTTCTGGCAGAGCAAGGAATGGTTAACCTTATCGAAAGCTTTGCTGAAATCCAGATAAATTGCATCCGTTTGGCCTCTAACAGCAAAAGTTTGACAGAGATAGTTTTTAAAAACTAGTAAATTACTAAGTGTCGATCTATTTTTAACGAAGCCATGTTGTTTGTTCGTGATATACTTATTCAAGTGAGAGTAAAGAGTAGTGTAGACGAGTGACTCAAATAATTTTGCCAAACAAGAGAGGATGCTTATAGGCCGATAGTTAGCGCATGCTGTTTTATCACCCGCTTTGAAAATGGGTATAATATGTGCGACCTTCCAGCGTGTGGGAAAAATACCAGACTTAATAGATTTATTAAATATAATGGCAAGAGGAGAACACAGCTCCTCAGAGCAATATCGAACAAATTTGGGTGGAATATCATCTGGACCAGGGCCTTTACGCGTGTCAAGTTGTTTAATTTTTGTGTCTATATCTTCCGCGGTAATTTCAATATTATGCAAAGAGAAATTAGGCACATCAGGCATGTCCACCAATACAGCAGACTGAGTGCACAAGTCATAAACTGACCCAAAATATTCCGAAAAGAGTTCACAAATGCCTTGACCATCCGAACATGTTTTATTATTGAATGTCATTTGGTTAGGAATAGTAACACCACACTTTTTATCGTTCACATAACGCCAGAATGCACTAGGATTTTCGGGTAGAGACTTCTCGATTGTTGATAGATAGGTCCTGTAGCAGTCGAGTATGAGTGATTTGCATCTGCTCCGAAGCAGTGAAAAAGTGTCGTAATCTCGAGGATTGGAGTATTTTTTGTAGCGTTTATGAAACTTGTTCTTTTCCTTAATACAGCGAATCAATGCTGAACTATACCACGAGGGATATTTATAAGAAGAGTTTCTTTTGTACGGAGTATGTTTTGAAATAATTTCATTTATTTTATTGTAAAAAATGTCAACACATGCATTAATATCAGCAGATGACAGAAGCGTTTCCCAATTGATATCGCACAACTCAGATCTAACCATAACATAATCACATTTGTCGAAATTGTATCGTTTCCTGTTTTGGGGTTTCAGTGGCTTATCCACTATAACTCCAGTTATGTTTATGACATACGCTAGATGATGGCAATCCGGAGGACACAGAGGTTCAGATTCAACAACGGCAATGGCGCACGCGGGCAGGGTAGAAAAAACTAAATCTAGGTAACGATTATTGCCATTAGGAATTAAATTAAATTGAGAAAGATTACAAGTGTTCATTGTTTCTAGGAGCAAACGCGCTTTGTGGTCTCGAGGGTTAGATGCCGAGAGTGATTTTGATACGTCAAGTCTTTCCCAGGTCACATTTACGGTGTTAAAATCTCCCAGTATAAGAAAGTTATCGCCAGGCGCTGAGTCAAGAACAACCCTCTGGCAGTTACTGTGGAACGCACTGATATCGTCATATGGCAGGTCAGGCGGCAAATAGCAAAGACATACATGTAAAGAAGCCTCACCCAATTTATCTGAAAAAATCGTAAGCCAAATGTCCTCGACCCTGCTCTCCCAAGAGAATTGACGGGCACAATTAATATTGTTCTTTATTGCAAGAAGAACGCCGCCCCCACTCTGCTTTACCGAACAAGAGCTCTCGCGGTCCCTACGAAAAACACTGTATCTATTATCTATAGACTCATTATCGTACACACCACAATCAAAGTTAGTTTCCGTTAAACAAACAATATCATAATCACAGTTCAATAAACTTAAATAGATATCTTTCAATTTGGATCTGGCTCTTCCTAAATTCTGATAGAACATACTATACATATTGAGAAATTAATATTTTACCAAAATTATAATTAACTAAATAAAGAAAAAAAATTAACACTAGCGTAACTTATCTAAGGAGTCCAGGTTGTGGATAAGAATAGCACCTGCTGAGTCGTCCTTGCGCACATATATCTGTCCATATTTTACCCACACATATTTGTAGTTACGTTCCTTTGCAGTCTTTCTAGTTGCCGCGTGCAATGTCTTTTGCTCTGGGGACAAGTGCTCGGTGACGTAGATTCTACACGGTTCACCAGGAATATCTAGGTCGGAAGTTCTTAAACCATTACCAGTGTGGGTTTTGTGGTATCTATGGGTTGCAGACAACACCAGGTCTCTTATTCGTGGGGTGGAAAAGGTTACTACTATATTACGTGGCCTGGAAGAGGCATTATTCAATTTAGCCACCCTGCGGCAAGCGCTAATTTGGCCATCCTCCACCGGCGCCTTCACAACTTCAATCAGTTTCTTGAGCACAGCCAAAATATTTTCGTTTTTACGCTCCGGCACTGCTTGTATTTCGATGTTGCAGTTGCGTGAGATCTTGTCGATGCCAACCAAGCGGATATTGAGTCTGTTTATTTCGGATTGTNGTTTTGTTTGGGGTATAAAGTTTGAATTTTGATGGCGGATATGAAGGTAAACAACTTTCGGCGCGCGTCGTAAGATGGTTGGGTAAGTTGGACCTGTACGCAGGCGGGGGTTAGCTGAGAGATGAAATTTTGCAATTTTGGATCATGAATTTTGAAAAAATAAATTAAAAGTAGGAAAATTAAATAATGTCAATAAAGTGAAATCACAAATTCAAAATGATTGAAATATATTTTATAAATTTCTGGTTATAGGTACAATCGTTTTATTGTTAATTAAATAATATTAATTAACTTTTCAGTCTTGTGAAGGAGTAAAAAATATCAGAATTACTGAAGTGCAAAACATAAAAACAGAAAGTAAATTTTTGCCTCATTTGGCTTAAATAAAATGAACTGAAAGGAAGTACCTAATAACTTAATAGATAAATAATTATTTGTACGAAGGAAACAACCCTTTTATGATTATAATGGAAATGAGTCAAGTTTTACCAACAACTTTTGAAAGCTGTTATTGTTTATTGAATTGTTTCGCGTTAATTTAACCGTTGAGATGGGATTGAATTAATCAACTGTTGTTTCATCGGAATGTGTTGTTTAGATTTGAATTTGATTAATTTCAATAATATGAATCAAGAGAATTCCTTTCTTATGTTATCATAATAATATTTGGATAAATCACGATATTTATTATGAAAATTAACAAAGTTTTTTTATTATTTAACAGATCGTTTTTAGCTTTTGAGTATTGGTTACATGCTCCAAGTTTTTAGTTATTACAACATGCAGATTTCAATATAACTGAACCTTTTGTATAGGAATACCTAGTAGTCAACTTTATAAATTCAAGCAAGCAAGCGACAACTAGCAAGGTAAAAACTGATTTATGACAAGGATAAAAAATCACGAAAATTTTGTACAAAATACAAGAAAATTTGGGTATTTTTGGAAGCACCAATGTGATGTTACGCCAAAATAAATAAAATTATTCAAAAATATTATCGCAACTAGTAGGCATTGCAAAGTCAAATGATTTACACTAACAAATAAGATATTTTAATATAAACAACGGGAGCGGTGCAGGATGCACTCACCCTTCTGTTCCCGTAATGAGGGAGAGGGAAAATTTGGGAAAACTCGCAATAATAGAGGGGAGGGTACAGGGTGTTCATTGTTCAAGTTCGCTTATTATAAATTTAGGGTTATAAAGAAGTTTTCACCTGGTTTAAAAGTAATTTTTTGATGATAAAAGAATTGATAATACTTGCCTATTTATGTTTATAATGGGGTCGGATGCCTTAATGATCAGAGCCTCAAGGCGACGTGTCATTCTATAGAAAGTTCGATTGAGTTACTTGAGTAGTTTGTATGTTTCAAAGTTATAAGATGTTGTAGGTAATATTAAAAAAATGATTCTGGCTTCGTTCCTACGAGTATGTTTAAGGTCGATCGGGACTTTTTCCAATCAAGTGTCCCACTGGTTTGTCCCAAATGCACAAAAAAACAAAAACACAAAAGTATTTTCCAAAAATGTTAGATGCAATACCGCCTGACGTTGACGTTATTAAGTTAGAATTTAAATTATGCAACGCGATAATTTAAAATAAAAATAATTGTTTCAAAAAGGCTTATCAATTTCCCAAACAGCCTGTACATCTAAATAAATTCAAAAGGCCTCTGGCTCAAATTGGGCGAGATCCAAACTGAGGTCCCGCACTCCCGGCAGATGTCGCCCTCCGATTATCGTATGCAGATCAACCCCCGCTTAGCGTTACCTGTTTATCATTTTGGGAAATGCAATTGTGTTGTTTTTGTATTTAGTTAGGTATACGAGGTTTTGCTACTGAATTGGCTGTAAGAAATAAAATAACTAACGCCCGTACCTATTTACTAACGGTGCTTGAAGTGAAACAGCAAATCGAAGGCACAGCGTTGAATAGAGCTCCGTGATTGGTTTGTGTGTCACCCTGTGCGTGCACGCGCGCTGTGAGACCTCATAGTAATGTTTGTGAATACGAACGTAACACACTATAACCACAAAGTAATGTTCAATAGTTTTGATGAAACATCTTTTCATTCTTATTTCTAAGAAAATTGGTCAGTAAAGAATAATTTAAATGAAATTATACTTCTGATAACCACCGCTCAAAGGTGGCGGATTTTTTCTCTATAAAACTGTTTCGTTCAGTTAACTCCTTGAGCTGGTTAGCTACAGTTGGGAGAATAAAAAGTAATTATTTCAGAACACACTTTTCGAGGGAAAAGGACACTTGAAATTCAGAAACACTTGTAACCAAAATTGTTTTATGTATATTTATGTCATTGTGTTCAAATTAGTAATGTTTTTGTTATTTTTCTGCGAACTCAAATCCTCCTTAATTTCATGTTGACGGTCCTTCACATTTCTTACTTCTCTCCCGCGACATTCGCAGAACTGCGAACGTTTGCTCAAACGGTCAGCACAGTATCACTCACCTGGGTCTATCTAGACCGAGGCTAACGACTAAGTTTCAGTCGGGGGAAAGTTTTAAGTGCGCTCGTTACGTTTGCGAGGGCCATCCGAGGCAATGGCGACAAAAAACGGTTAAGGGCCTAGAAGTTTTGCGACGAACTTGTTCTTTTGATTGAGTTGCGACCTTTTCGTCGTGGCGCGTAATTATGGGGTGTGTCGGACTTACGAATTCGATGTTCCGGATGGTGGACGGCGAATAAGGTATTTACCTGAAAAGAAAAAAAATGCTGTTAGTTATTGAAACTTTTCACACTTAGTACAGAATTAGGTATTACGAGTTAAAGATTATGAAGAACAAATGATAAAATATACATGAATTCAATATAAGCTCACAGTCACATCTGAAGTTTTCGTTCTAGTAATTATTGTAGCAGCTCACTGATATTTTTTAAGGATTTTTACAAGACATAAATTGAGAACATTTTCATGAGATTTACTTTTGAGAATGTTCCCATAATGTTCTGAATTTTCCTAAAAAACTCACGCATCGTATCACGTCAAATACGATAATATGGAATTTGACGTTATTTAGTGTTTTGTTTAAAATACACGTTGTCCTTGTTCTTAACCGCAACTCAGCCTATTTAATCCCTACTTGCTCCAAGTCTCAATTATCTTATTCACAAGTCGGACCAAGTCAATAATGACAGGAAGGATCGTTAAGTGGCCAATTGATCTCCGAGGGTGGTCTCCAATTCTCCATTGACACCAAATTGTGCCATTAATGGGACGGAAGAAGCTTGTGGCCGGTGGCTTTTTTTGTGGGGATATTCAATTACTTTAGCGAGACAATAACTGTGATAGAGTCTAATGTATGGGAAATAACAATAGTTGGTTAAGAGTTTTATTTTTGAGTAGACAATGGATCTGAAAGGACTGTTCTAAATGTGGTCTAAACAGTAAAAGACTATTTTACATACCTATTATGAATTCAAATATTTTAATAAATCCGTAAAATTACACACCCTGCTTTTTACACCAAGGTAATATCGATGCAATTTCCCTAATTCACTTACAAATTCGTCAATATTAGCTGTCATAAATTACAAAATCTATATTGTAAAACTCAAACTCCACAGCAGGTGACACTGATGAACTGCTACAAAAATTCGGAAATTTCTCACTTCCACAAAATTCGCGTCGTCAAAATTCTCGCATTTCCTTATTATTCGCATAACTCCAGTTCGGTTATTACTCGATGTCGGATGCAAATATCCGTCTTTGGGGCGCTGAGATATGGGGCCATAAACAGCAGGCCACTGGCAACACCTGCTGAGTATGGTCACCCCATAGACTGAAGGGAGATATTGAGGGGAAAATTTTGCATAGACGTTGATGCATTTGATTTGGATGGGTTTGATTTTATTTTTGTGTTTTTTTTTCTTGCTTTTAAGTTTTCAATATTAGCGATAGACCTTAATAAATTAAAACATGTAAGTAAAGCACATGCATCGTTAACTGAAAATTTATTAGGTGAGTCATTAAAATATTTAATTTTTATTTTTTCACGCCTAAGCGACTGAACCAGTTTGATGTAAAAACCTTGATCTCAACTGAAAGATGGTGATTTTGTTGTAAGAAGAACCTTGGAGAAGTAGGATAAAAATAATGGGAAATTGATAGTTTGTACGGCCAATTGCGTTAGGAATACGAAAATTCCTTTTTATCCTAGTAGTAATGTTTAAATTACGATTGGTTATTTGAGTTTGTGATTCTGGTACATAAACAAAAGTATGACCACTTTTAATTTACAAATGTCACGCATATTATCAAGGGAAAGTGCAAATTACATTTTCTCTAATATGCGAAAAATTGCCTACATTAATAAAAGCACACAGGCTACACATCAGGTGACAAATAGGCTACAATCGAGCCGCCAGAGGTCTCTATTACTTTTTAAATTAACGTGCCGATGACAAATCTGTCCGTTAATCAAGCCCAGAGGGGAGAGGGCCTCCTTGCAAAAAAATGACAGAGTGGAAGTTTGATGTTAGGATTCTGTATGCTACGGTATTTAAATGCTTCAATATGTTTTGTTTTAATTACTGTGAAAATCTTTGCATACTTCAAAATATCAGTCAGTCCTCAAAATGCAAGATCTGAGGGACGAATTATTTTAACTCGAAAAGATAATTTTCTTGTTTTAATAATAGATAAGTATATTATACAATGTTAGATTAGGAACTGCTGTCGCTGTGCAAAAATCGATTACATAACCAAATTTTGTGCTGACCATTTGAATCCATTTAATTTTGTAAGTTAGTCTTGATTTTTACTGAAGTTTTTTGAGATTACAAGAAGTTTTTCCTTAAATTGCCAACAGAATAAAGTTTATTTATTTCAATATTTTTGAAAAGATATTTTGAAAGCAGAAGCCCTTGCCTTGAAAGGACAAATACAGGATAATTTAAACTTCACAAAAAGTTATGTAAATACAAAAAAGGTTCACATCTCTGAATACGGGACCCTAAG